CAAGGGTGCGGCGTCGGCAGAACGACGAGCCGTGCACGACCGGGATGGCGACGGAGGTCGTCTGCTCGCGTGTGCACGTGCTGTTCGGAGGGCTCGGCCGCCACGGTGGTCCGCACGTGGCTCGACTCCGGGAGCCGTGGATCTGGCGGGGCTGCAGAGGCCAGCCTGACCTCACTCGACTCCGGGAGCCATGGATCTGGCGGGGCTGCAGAGGCCAGCCTGACCTCACTCGACTCCGGGAGCCATGGATCTGGCGGGGCTGCAGAGGCCAGCCTGACCTCACTCGACTCCGGGAGCCATGGATCTGGCGGGGCTGCAGAGGCCAGCCTGACCTCACACGACTCCGGGAGCCGTGGATCTGGCGGGGCTGCAGAGGCCAGCCTGACCTCGCTCGACTCCGGGAGCCGTGGATCCGGCGGGGCTGCAGAGGCCAGTCTGACCTCACTCGACTCCGGGAGCCGTGGATCCGGCGGGGCTGCAGAGGCCAGTCTGACCTCACTCGACTCCGGGAGCCATGGATCTGGCGGGGCTGCAGAGGCCAGTCTGACCTCACTCGACTCCGGGAGCCGTGGATCTGGCGGGGCTGCAGAGGCCAGCCTGACCTCACCCGACTCCGGGAGCCATGGATCTGGCGGGGCTGCAGAGGCCAGCCTGACATCACCCGACTCCGGGAGCCGTGGATCTGGTGGGGCGGCAGAGGCCAGCCTGACCTCACTTGACTTCGGGAGCTGCGGATCTGGCGGGGCTGCGGAGGCCAGCCTGAGCTCCCCAGACATTGGGTGACACTCAGGCTGGTGCGACACGCCGCTATGGGCTGGATGCGCCACCTCTGGTGTCTTCTCATTAACCCCGGACCAACACCCGGACATGCACGAAATGGTCGGTAAAACAGCGATCCTCTAGTCGTTGAACACAGTTTAGTGGCACCTTCTTTTGGCAGTTTTCCGTGTAACACAATGCTCATCTCTTTTTGCAGTCATATATCCATCACTCCAGCTATTGTTTGTGCGTTGTGACCAAGGGAGAACTGTGGTGGAGGCTTGCCCTGCCATCTTTAAAGTTTATGGTTTATGATGTGTCTTTCGTCCATTTGGTCACAGAAGCACACAACCGACGCAACATCAAGAAAACCAAGAATGAAACATATCAGTGTTAAACACGCGCGGGGGTGGGGTGAGGGTAAAATTGACCCCACTGAAGGCTTTCCAGAATGATTTCAGAACGGCGCGGCGCAGCCGCGCCAAATTTTGCGTAGCTGTAGAAAATTGAATACTGGATCGTGCGGTTTAACCATTTAGATGTACCTTGAACGGTCGCTGACCTATGGCAGGTCAAAGTCAGGCCATAGTTTCAGCGAAGTCAATTGCTAGGGAATCGTTTAATCTGATGCAACAAAGGGGTGTTAGACGGGGCCGTACATCTCTAAGATGCTTTCCTAGGTAGGGAACAAAAATATTCAATGAGCAAATTACGTTGACCTAAGGTCAGGTATAAAGGTCAGACCAAGTTTAAACCAACCTGTTTTATTACTCTTAAGGCTTGCTGTATGGCGTGGTTTCTGGTGCTCTTTTCGAATCTAGTGATGGCAGGAACCGCATTATACATTTTCCATGAACGTCTTGGAAGTCAGAATAGGTTATTGACTTAAGATGACCCAGGTCAACATTTCGTTTTTAGAGACATACTGCCTAGCGCCATCTTTGTTGCTTATTCAAATGCAACACTCGGAGCGGTCTTGTATGATTTTGGTCACCATGACCTTCAACAGGTCAAATTAGGTCACTGACCTTAGATGAGCATTGCTTAGAAACAGTTCGCTAGGTTCTAAGGGCTTTTTGGGGACTTACCTGGAATTTGACCTTGTTTGACCTTATTTGACCCAAAGATCATGACCTAGGTACCTCAAGCCTAGACCTAGTGAGTAGTAGAGCTTAGACGTGCAGGTCAACACGCCCTGTAAATTTGGTGTCTCTAGCTCTATTGGTTCTCGAGATTTCAGGGGGGAGGGCAAATTACCCCCCTCCCCTATCCGAGCGAAGGGTGTCTAGCCGGTCACCCGGGCGTGTGTTAAGAAAAATGCTGAGTAATGTCCGCATACACAGGGTTTTCTTGCAGACACGTGCAGCTGATCACAACCTGCATAATTTTTTTCCCGGCCGTACGATCACTGAAACACAAAGTCACACACACGCACACACACACACGCCAGCTGTATCAACTGACGCACATACAGCTAAATAGGCGATTCGAAATTGATTTACCTGTCTGTGTGAGCACCATCTGCTGTTTTTTTTTTTTTTTGGCTAGCGTCACTCGCCCCGTCCAAAATCGATAGCAGCGTGAGATATGCCCTGATCTCCCTGCCTGGCGACACGTGGGGAGCCTTTGTGCGCGCGTGACCCCAGCTTCTGTCCGGCTCCTGTCACCTCGTGGTTCACGCCGTAGCCGCCAGTCTCACAGAAGCCGCAGAAGCCGCGGTAGCCTGACACCATCCACGACAGATGGATGGTCGGCCACTGGTCCGCCTGGGTGACGCGCAGTGATGCGGGGACGTCCGATTCGCGGCCGCCAGCCTGTCTGTATCGGAGCGGCCGCCGGCCTGTCTGGATCAGGGTCGCAGCCGGTCTGTCTGTATCGGAGCGGCCGCCGGTCTGTCTGGATCGGATCGGCAGTCGGTCTGTCTGTATCGGAGCGGCCGCCAGTTCGTCTGGATCTGAGCAGCCGCCGGTCCATCTGGATCGGACCGACCGCTGGTCAGTCTGGATCAGACCGACCGCCGGTCCGTCTGGGGCGGACCGGCCGCCGTCGTGCCCGGTCAGAGCAGTCGCGCCGGCCGGCTGTGCTGGGAGGGGCGCGCGCGGCGCGGCGACCCGGCGCCAATGGTCAATAATTTATGGCTCGTTCTCGGGAGGGATGGTTTGTAGTCTTCTTTGTTGGAGGAGAAAGAGCCTCTCCCCGGCCGTCGCCGATAGCATCGGCACGACTTATGACGCGGCCCTGCTTTTATGAAGCATATAAGGTCAACGAGACGGACGCCGTGATAATGACCAGCTGACCGTTGTTTGTGAGGCGCGGCGCGTAACAGCCTGGGTGGTCCATGCCGCTGATGGCACTGCAAAAACGACCACGAGTGCCTCCGTGTACTGGCGAGGGGCCGGTACTCGCTGTGAAAGACGCTGAAGCCGACGTCATGACGCATACGGCATTGCGCCGTCGCTGATTGCCCACTTAACGTCGTCCGAGCCATAACTCATCGTCAACTCGGCGGCCCCAAATGCTAATGGCGGGCCCTGATATCATCATCGCCAAGCGGCTGCGGCGCGTTTTTGGTGTGCGTTCCGCGTCCGGGTCGCCGCGCACCCGGCGTGGCCTGTGCCTCTGTTTGGCCTCGGAGCCTGGGAATCGCTTGACCCGCCGGACACAGCGTCGCACAACGGCCTGTGATGAGAGCGCCCGGCCTGAGCAGGCTGCGTAGGCTGCGCTGCGGCGTGCTCCGGCCTCGGCTGCACTTGTTGCTGCTGTGTGGAACTGCGCCTGCTCAGCGCCGGATCAGCTCAGTGCCATTGTGGTGCAGGTTCAGTACTCCGACTTCTTGTCGAGCCCAGCCTGCGCGCACCGGCTCGCAGCTGTCTTGTTTATCTTTGAATGAGCAAACATATGCCCTATGTTCATTAAATTTATCGACACACTTAGTCTGTATAGGTGGTCATTACGCACAGTAAGAACAAAAGATAAGTTTGTATGTCATGTACGTGAACAGATATGCATTGTGTAACATAGAATGTCCCACGTGGTTTTCCCGCCTTTTGTTTTATACTCCGCAACGCGAGGGCAATAACCTCACTCTTCACATGACTGAAATGCATTGCAACGTCCTGCAACGAGATTATTTCGACAAGACTGTCAGTAGGAATGGGAACAGGCTGGTTGTAGTACGACGATATTTAATTATACCTAAACCGGAGTGACCTCCTTGAAGTTGAATGCCTTTTTTCTGAAGAACCTAACAGCATGCTCGAAGATTTACGCATGAATTTCTGGGTCAATTTCCACTGGATTAAATGTAAGTTTGGTTGATTGTGTTTGGCAGCCTTGCTTATCTCGCTCGTAGTTCACTCCGACCTATGCAGCGTATTGCAGTTGAAGTACACGATCTAGCCAGCTTCAAACATTGCGCCTTATGATGGCTCAGGAGTGGCCGGCTGACGGCGCCACTCGGCCGACGCCCGCCGACCGGCGCGTCGTCGCCGACGGTGTGGGGCTGGGGGGGGGGGGACGCCGTCGCGCAGCTGCCGCCGGTGTCGTTCACCTTCGAGGGCGTACGTGACACGTGCCGGCTATGGCGGCCGCAATCGATTTGTCGTCGGTCGTGGTGTCTGCGGGACGCAGGAGCTGACTTCTGCCTCCTCCCCGCCGCAGATGACCCGGAGAGGTGGGGTGTGGGAGCGGGCCAGGTGTCCGAAGTCATTCGATCTGGGGGAGGGGTGTCCGGCGGCGTCGAGACGCCACCCTTCTGACCGCTGACCGTCAGTGGTGGCGGTCCTCCGCGAGGGGGAAGGGGAGAGCGGGGATGGGGGAACTCTCGGGTGGCGACAGGAACAGTATCGGCTGATTTGACGCGATGCTTCTGGTGACAGCCATAGTTTAATTACTTATCGCAAACTGGAGCGTACAAAAGCCCCCGCTATTGGGTGAGCCGGGCCTGTTTTTGAAGTGAGTGCCTTTCCATGCATTACCATCCAGCCATACACCACCAAGTCAAATATTTACGAGATGTTTGAGTTTTACGCCCTACGCCCCCTCCTTGTTCTAACGTCCATGATTAAAAGTGGTTCATGTTCCTACCATGGAATTAACCATGTCATTTTAGCAGCTGCAGGCCAAAGCATTTGCTCAGAATTGCTATAATTGCCGGCGGTGTATCTTTTCACCGCGGTGCAGACACAACACGCTAACAACCGCGCGGTTGGCTGCTGCTGACATGGTGCTCGTGGCTGCAGCTGGAGCCGCTGTATCCGGAGAGGCACTACGACCTGGTGGTGCGGCCGACGGCGGGGGCCGGCGACGACCCGGCCTGCGACTGCGCTGGCCCGCCGCCGCCCCAGTTCCTGCTGCCGCCGCCGCCCGTCGACCCGGCCTGGGCCGCCGCCGACGCCGACGTCTGTGATATCGTAGCTCCGTATCAAATCTGCAGCGGCCTTACCGTAAGTGGCTCTCGGCGTGATGTCTGCGCTGATACGTGCACGTTGATAGCGGGCTGTCGCAACAGACGCGTGGTCCACGTCGTCCTCGGGTTGCCACATGACGTATGGTGCTGGTCCCGTGATGATTTCGTACCCAGATCCCATCGCGCCCTCTTGTGTCTTTGAAGAGCGGGTGTAAACACACAACAGGCCGTGTAGGAGGCCAACGGGCGCACGACGTCCTTTGCTGACCCCAACGTGTTGACTGGCGCATAGGGTGCAACGTCAATGTTCACTGTAAATCGTGTTTCGCCTATCAGTTTAACTGGTACTGGTATCCACGAAAAAGAGAATTTACCGCACGCAACGATGATACCTGAACCAATGTGAGCAATATGAAGTATAAAGCCGCATGGAGCTAGGCAGCCTCATCGTGCCAGAGCTGTTCTGCTGCCTCCGCGCCGCCGGGGTCGGACAGGATCTGTTACAGGGGGTGCCTACCGGCGCGGACTTGCGAAACTCGCCGTCCATATCCATGCTGGGGTTGGATAGTGACGGCAGGATGTGTTACAGGGAGTGCCTCCCGGCGCGGACCTGCAAGGCTCGCCGTCCATGTCCATGCTGGGGTTGGGAAGTGACGGCAGGATCTGTTACAGGGGGTGCCTCCCGGCGCGGACCTGCAAGGCTCGCCGTCCATGTCCATGCTGGCAGCTCTCATCACTACCTCGCTTTTTCTATTCATTGTTCTGGTGTCTGGAACAATATTCTTCTGCAAGTGAGTATTGCCTTTCGAGGTCTGCACAGTGCTGATCTGCGCGATCATCAGTTGCAGTTGCAATGCAGTTTTTTAAGCCTGCGCATTGTTCAGTCGGATATCGAATGTAATGTCGGTAAAATCTCACTCAGTCTCTTGCATCGTGAAATATGTCTGGCAAGTCTGACAGTTTTGCAGACACGCACTGGACTGCGGTGATGTCAAATCAATCGTGGGTTACAATGGCCTGCGACTCACGCTTCACACGAAGCAGTGGTTAAATTTCAAGATAAATTATTGCTCAATAGGAAAAACTACACTTCCGGTAGCTGGTTCCTTACTTGTTCACGAACAACAGCCCATACATTTCGATTGACGGTAGGATTTTGTAACTTCCGAAGACGACCAGATTTGAATGCAACTGAACAAGTTGTTGATTTTCTTTTGACCGTCACGTTGAACCGCGTGCCAGGGGACCAGATGACTCAGATTTGGAGAGCAGTCTCCTGGCTGACTAGCGTAGCTCGCCCGTCGCAGGCACACGCGCCACTCACACCGCTGGCGACACCGGAACCCGCTCACGATCCGCCGGCCTTGGCCTGCGTCATCCCGCGCCGCGCACCACACGTTGCGCGGCATCCGTCATGCTGGCGCTCCAGCTCTGGTCCCCAGCTGCCGCCGTCATCCGCCAGCCCGCCGCTGATTGGCCGCAGCGCGCGCCGTGGTGACGCCCGCGGCCGAGGAGCGCCGGTCGGCCCCCGCCCTGTCACGTGCTCAGCCGGAGGTTGCGTTCTTCTGCGGCTCTAATAGCTCGGGCCACGCCGCCAACAACGGCCGTCTCCCCGCCATCGCCGCCCGAAGCAGACGCAATATCCCGCGCCGCTCGCGCCGGCGAAGTACGCCGCGGCGGCGCAATATTCGGCGCAGAACGCTGCCGGTCGCGGCAGGCGGCGCGCCGTGCCGACTTCGGCGGCGGCGTGTGAGCGACGGCGGCTCCCAGAATAGCGCGCCGCAGTCCGGTGTCGGAATGCGCGACTGGCGCGGCATGTCGGCCGGAATGTGTCGCGTCGAGACGCGCTACGAGACGCCATTCGACACATGATTGCGCCGGATGCCTCGCGCGATGAAGGCGGAGGGAGAATCCGGCCGTCGGCACGGACGCGCGTCAACATGTTTGCCTGCTGAGTTATTGATCGCGCGCCGAATTCAGATGCGGTAGAGTACGATTATGGCAAGATATTGTGATTATAATACTCAGTTCATGTTTGTGGAAAAAGTTGGAGGCATGTGCTGGATAAAGTGTAACGTGTTGCGGTCTTCAAAATTGGGATGTTTTTGCGTTGCCTTTGAATGAATGTAGATGTATGCATGTACGCGCCATGGCCGGACCAATGCAACGAAATCAAACTTTTGAGCAGTGGTTGACGTCACGATATCTTCGGTAAGCTCTTGCGCGAGCTTTTACAAAAATAGAATGGAGCAACAGCATTATAAGTCACTTGCTTTGGTTACATCGTCTATCATGAATGCCTGATATCTAGATAATGACTGTTGCCACTGTAACGCTTCTATCTTCACTCATGTTTCGGTGTCAAATGATCGGAACGAGTGTAGGTTTGGCATCGGCGAGATTATGATGCGGCCAGGTGTAGATATTGCTACTTTTCGTTTTGCGATGCAAGCACTTGGATGCGAGCAGAGAAAATATTCAGACACAAGCAGGCACCTGTAGCGCGCAGACCGTTCAAACAGGAATGCGTGCAAATCAGAACCACAAGGCCGACGTCCGGCCGCGGCGTCTTTGACCCGAACCGGCCCGCTGGAGTGGAACGGCTTCGCACGCCGTCCCGGCGCAGCTGCAGCCTGGTTTTCACAGTTTCCGAGCGAGCGCCTCCACTTCCCTGGCATCTGCCTTTGTCACGCGAGCCGCACCAGGGTGGCGCCGCCATTTTCCGACCAATTTCACACACACACGGTAAAAAGGCGTCCGCCGCGCCGCGCACGGCACGGGCAACGGCGCGTTCTCACGCGCCCCGCAATTGTCGGAGACGCACACGATTTCCCGAGAAGTAAAATGTGGAGTATTTTGAACGGTAGCGGGCGTTCGATCTTCATTTGGCGGCGTTTGCGCGTCCCCCGGTCCCAGGGCAGTTTTTCTTTCATCGGGCGGATCCGCCCCATGTTCCGCGTGGCGGCCTCTGATGCGGAGATGCGGAACGACGCGGCCACCCGATCCCGCCACCCCAGAGCGGCTCTCGGACACCTGGTCGGGTCACCCCTGAGTGGGTCCCGGCCACCTGATTCTGCCACCCCGGAGCGACTCTCGGACACCTGATTCCGCTACCCCAGAGCGACTCCCGGCCACCTGGTCGGGTCACCCCTGAGTGGGTCCCGGCCACCTGATTCTGCCACCCCGGAGCGACTCTCGGACACCTGATTCCGCTACCCCCAGAGCGGCTACCCGGCCACCTGATTTCGCCGCCCCAGAAGTGGGGTCTCGACGCACCCCGACGTCGGCGCCCCACAACGGCCCCCAGTCCGCTGTTTCCGCTCGGGCGGGCCTTGTTCTGGGAGCGGACGCGTGGTCCATGGGAGATGGACAATAGCAATTTGGCGCTGCAGTGCATTGGTCATTCGGTGATTTGGCCCCTCTGACATTCAAATTCGCTAATTCAAAAATTTTGCTGCACAAACCGTAGAAAATTTGTCTGCTATGCAATTGCAATTAAGTGTTGAGGGTTGGACATTTTATGTGGGTGTATATACGGCGCGGAAGGAATCCTTTACGGTGGTCGCAGTTTCGCCCCATACACCTGTGCCACGCGACCATCTGTTTTTCCTGCGCGGAACAGGCCAATTGTTCTGTATCGCGCCCACAGTGAGGTGGTAGGAAAAGCAGTATTATATGACACCGCTACCAGGCTTGGGTGTGCTACACACGTGCCCACCCGCCTATCCCTGGCACACATGTGGTCACGCGATTGTCTGTCGGCTGAGGGAACGCTGTCAAGCACTGCGGATCATGGAGATAGACCGCGGACGGATTTTGCCACTACGATATATCAGAACCAAACGGCAGTGCAATAACCGGGGGGTCGTGCGTGCCGCCACATCAAGATGGATGGGATTGAGCCGTGCGCTTTTTTGCCCCCTTCGGTCTGTCACATCCCCCGTCATTTCCTCATGTAGCCCCCCCCCCCCCCCCCACATGAATCACAAACGACCAATGAGAATCTCAATTCGAGTCAGCTCACAGGTTACCGTGTGCGCTCTCGCTCTGCAGACACCGGCGCAGACTAAGCGGCATCATGTCAGCCAAGGGCGCGGGAAAGCGCGGTGACAACTCCAGGATGTTGTACGACGACCTGTCGCTGCGCCCGCACGTCATGCCCAACAACCTAAGGCCGAGCGGACCGCACATCGAGGTAGGTCGATGGTGTCAGACGACGCATGCCGTCGGTCATCTGAGCCTGGTCATGCTTGAGGTGTGATGGTATGTGTTTGTCAAGCTAAAGCGTTGTGCTGTGATTAACCGTGCGGTGTCCCGGCCGTGCCTGTATCACGGGCTGTCCCCTGCTACGGGGTTACTTCGTGGTGAAGGGGATGTGTTAAGTCATCTCTTTGAATGTGGCTATTAAAGCAGGTCGACTTTTTTATACGTGCCACAAAACATCTATGATGCAAGCTCAGTATTCATCAGCTTTAGGCGTAGTTCGCTGCAGAACGAGCCGTGTCGTTCCCATGTGAGCGTGATGAGGGTCCCGCCGGGGAGCGGTGCCGCCTCTGTGCCGACCTGAACACCCTCGGCCGTGTCGGCAGATGGTGGCCGTGAAGGGACAGTGTCCGCAGCTGCTGCCGAGCCGGCCCACCGGCACCCTGTTCGTGTACCCCCCGCCGCCGTCCCTCACCGACGACGGCTCCGAGCGGCTGTCCAACATGTACGAGGAGATACCCTACTACGGTACGTGACGCTGGAGATCGGCCGGCGAGCGGCTCGCGGCTCGGCTCGCGCACGCGCGCTTCCCGTGCCGCTGTACTCACCGGGCTGGCGGTTCACATCCTTTTTTGGGAGGCGGTTGTGGGAGAGGGAGGAGGTGGGTATGTGTCGTACAGAATTGCAAGCGTACATGCTTGTTTGCAGGTTTAGCTGAACTTCGTCAAGTACGTGTTACCTTTCCAGGCACGTGAGACTAGAAGCATAGCTGATCGCTAGTTCAATGCTGGGGTTGGCTCATGTTCAAACTATAAAATTACAAAACCACAAGAAAATGTATTTCCTTGTAGCTTTGTGGTTGGGGTTTTTCGTCTTCTTTACAAGCTGTGTCCGGTAGCATTTTACAATGCTGCTCTTCTAGTATAAAGATTTCCGTACACAATGGGCAGCATGAGTTATCACATAGAAACGGCTGGCACCACGTGGTCACCAGCGCCGTGTTGCGCCATGCCTAGATCAGCGTTGCAGCCAGCGTCAGGTGGTTTGTGTCGGCAGGCCGACCGGCGCCGTCCGTGTCCTACTGCTCCGACTCGGACGAGGAGGAGCTGAGCCGACCCTCCGACGACGACCGGCGGCCGCACCCCTACATCCCCGTCGGCAGCGACGACGGCGGCGACGCGCGGTACGTGCGCACGCTGCCGGCGGCCGGGCCGCCGCGCCGGGGCCAGGCGCGGCGGCCGACCAGCGCCGACCGCCGCCGCCAGTCGCCCACCAGCCCCGCCCGCGGGCCCGGCCGGACGACCCCCGTGCGGCGTGACGAGTCGCTGCGCCGAAAGGACCCCTACTACTACTCGGACATTCTGGCGAGGGAGGCCGGCAGCCCCGATGGCCCGGGCGGCGACGGTCCTTACGGGCGACGGGGTGACGAGCGGCGGCCGACCAGCCGCGGCCCGCGCTACCACCGGCCGGACGTGACGTCGGCCGACCGGGGCCCGGCGTCGCCCGACCCGGACTATGTCAGCCCGCTGGCCCACCGGCTCATGCTGGACCCGTTCATGGACGTGTACCCCGGCGACGGCGAGAGACTGCGCCCCCGGCATAAGCTGAGCTCGTTCAGAAGTGGCGGCGGCGGGGCGCCGCGCGCGCAGGCGGCTTCAGATACGAGCCGGATGTACGTGAACGCGCCCGACGGCAGTGTGCAGGTGAACAGTGACGGCAGGGACGAGGAGGTGCGATATTATCCGGAGCCACAGTGGGGTTAGGGGCGCCCGGAACACGCTCGCCTCCGAGCCGTGCAAGCCTTGCGAGTGCAGCTAGCGCTGGTAGCTAACGTGACACCAGTGTTGAAGGAAACGCGCCGTGATATGTGCGTGTGTGTGGTGACAGATTTGCTGAGCTGCACCGTGAGATGCGTCCGAATTACCGCAGCAGTGGCTTTGGAAGGCTCAGACCAAAACTGCGACTGGACCTGTTTTGTGTTACGCTCGCGTTTACGACCAGAAATCACGTTTCGTGAGCAAGTTTGCGATCATTTAGCCGTATCATTTGCTGGTGTCAACTGTGTGTGGTGGATACATCCGCCCTCTAGTCCATGTGTGTCCCAGTTGGGATGTCTGTGATAGCCCCGTGACGTCAGCGCGTAGCTGGACCCGAGCCGCAAATACAAGCTCAGACCAACTGGCACTGTCGTCGGCCCTATTCGGCGCAGGCCCACAGTATAGCTCCACTGTCCATGTAAACAAGATGCGTTAACTAGCATCAAATTAGTATCTCCATCCACTTATGGTAAAGCCGGTAAATGCGCCACAAACACCGCCATCAATCACGCGTCCACGGCCATACCAGGCGCGCCTCGCTACGCCTCTTATCCGGCAAATTGGCGTCCGCAGAGGTGGCCGAACCGTTGATCGACAAGCCGGGCTACGGGTGGGGGGTCAGGGGAGTCCATGGACGGTGAGGGCAGGTCAGTCTATGGGTGGCGGGTCAGGGGAGTCCATGGACGGTGAGGGCAGGTCAGTCTATGGATGGCGGGGTCAGGTCAGTATATGGACAGCGGGGTCAGGTCAGTCTATGGAAGGCGGGGTCAGGTCAGTCTATGGACGGCGAGGTCAGATCAGCCTGTAGACGGCTGGGTTAGGTTGGTCTGTGGGCAACGGGATCAGGTCAGTCTGTGAACGGCAAGTTCAAGTCATGCTGTAGGCGTAATGGTCAGGTAACGTTACGGGCGGTGGAGTCAGGCCACGCTGCTGTCCGGACCAACCAGCACACACTCCCTGGAGCGGAGCTGGCAGAGTGCCGGCTCTGGACCTCCACCCCGGGCCGCTCAGGCCAGCCGCTCGGCCGAGGCCCGCGGCTGAATCACACGCGCTGGCGGCGCACAACAGGAGGGAAGCCCGGCCCGGTGACGTCAGCCGGGGAGGCGGCTCAGCGACAGGTGATTTACGCGGCGCGGTGCTGTTGATGTTGGCCAGCCGGACAGGCGCCGGCGGCCCCCTCTAATTATCGATACGACACTCACCAGACGCCGGTGTTTTGATGTTTATATCAGTCAGACGGGGGTGGCGGGTGATGTCTTCGTTCGCGCGAGACCGATGGGCTGCGTGCGAGACATCTGCTTGCAGTCCCATCCGCACATGGCTTTGAATGACTCAAACCTCTGCGACTTGGCTGCGGGACATTTAGAGGGGTTATGGAATTCATGAGGGAGATCAAATCATCCGACTGCTGAACGCTCTCGCGTACGACGGCGCCCGTTCTTGTTGCAGTCTCACTTTTTCGGAAGACAGAATTGAAGAAAAACAAACGTTGATCATCAAAATCTTTCGAATCGTTTCGAAGATCAATTTTTATCTGATTAGTTAAGTCTGAACAAAAAATTGCGATGGATGCCATGCTTGCAAGTGATTTTATCAGCGTGCCTTTCTCTTTAGATACTCTTGTTTTGCTAAAACACTTCCGTTTGCTTTACATGGTGCAGAATCATCCTCGATGGCCGGAAATAAGTTGTCATGTCAAGGTAGCATGTCCCCTATACGACTGCGCATCGTCACCGGGTAATGTTTGCAGGGGAAAGCGTGCGCACTACGTAAAGACCAGTCAACGAACGTCCTCGAACATAACGCTGGTCTTGCCACAGCCTTCAGCACCGCCGTCGCTGTCCGGCTAAGATGTGCGGCATGGCCGTGGTGGAGACAGGGTGACGTCACCAAGAGCACAGGCCATCGGAGTACTCGATCAATATTCGCATGCAGTCAGTCTGCCTTGAAAATGTCGACCGTTCTTGCTCGTTATACCGCTTGGTTCCTCTTGGTCAGTGTCTTTGAATGATAGTATTCATTATATGCTATCGACACATGGCATGCCAAACGAAGTATATCAATCATGTTGTCCGAGAAAAGACACCACATGAAGAACACAATATCAAACGCTTGCTGCTTCATTGCGATCTTTCACCATCCCAGACGTAAAGCTACCAGAGGTGCTTAGCAATGAACGAAGTCATTTCATCTGAGCACCTTAGCGAACAAAAGGCAAATGGCAGGAGCTGTTAAACGGAGAAAACATTACCCAGCGTACCGTACGCAGACCCATTCCGGTAATTTATCGCTGTTTACCGGTTCCAAACGGCACCTGCGAGGGGTCCATCCATGAAGTTCGGGTCCAGATAGCCCATCGTTTCCACGGAAACAGGGACCGTCAGCGACTGCGATTCGTAGCACCCGTTACAAACCAATCTTGCTCTTGCTCGCTGAATCAGTAAATGGTTGTAGGATTTCGTAAGTTCGATGTCATGAACCGAGTCAGCTACCCGTATCGAAGACCAGATTTGAATCCAATGTGATGTCAAAGACAGGTATTCCTTTTTTGTAATCTGCGCACTTCCGCTGAATTGAGTCGACTCAATATCGACGTATTTTTTGTTCTTTGTCTTTCTCTTTTTTCCCTTTCTTCTTCTCTTTTTTCTCTTTTTCTTTTTTTTTGTTTTTTGTGTCACATTATTGGTGTCTCCCAGACAAAAAAACAGGATAATTTTGGCGGCTTAAAGAATAATTTGAATGCAAGTATTGCCTACATCTTCCCGATTGCAATCATGTGTCGCCTTTAAACCCCCACTTCAAATGCCATACAGTGATATCACTACACCTGGAATGTAATGTGGTAGTCAAATACAATCAGATACAAGGCAACAGCATACATTCGGCATTCTATGACCCGTCAGCCACCAACTCCCCGCTGAGGCCGCCTGGCGTCCGCTGATGTGGGGAGGGTTAACGCCGCGGCCCAGGCCGTTGGCTCAGAGCTGGGATACTGCGGACACCAGCCCAGGTCGTTCGCTCAGGGTTGGAGTCATGCGGAGGTTTATCGCAGCGGCGTAGGCCGTTCGCTCAGAGCTGGGGTCATGCGGAGGTTTATCGCAGCGGCCCAGGCCGTTCGCTCAGAGCTGGGGTCGTGCGGAGGTTTATCGCAGCGGCCTAGTCCGTTCGCTCAGAGCTGGGGTCATGCGGAGGTTTATCGCAGCGGCCCAGGCCGTTCGCTCAGAGCTGGGGTCATGCGGGCAGCGCGGCGGTCAAGGAGACGAGCGACGCCGAGCCAGCTGACGTGACGTCACGCCCAAGGAGCAGCTCGTGGACCGGTGCCAGTCGGGCCCCAGTTCGTCCCAGCTGTTGACTGCCGCTCGCCTGCACCGCGGCTTTCACTCAAAAGCTGTTCATCAGGTTATCGGTGGGGCATCAAATCAGGCGGCGAGCATCGGCAGCGAGGCTTTGTCAGTGATCCGTTTGGCTGCTGTTTGCCGCTCTTCAAGCGCACCACCGTTTTCACCGTAATGTTTGGCCTACTCTGGAGGGAATCATGTGTCGATATTCCTCGGGAAGCGATTTGAACGGATGCGACTTACTGCCAGTGATTTGAGGAAAAGTCGACCCAAAACATTGTTCAAACTGATCACTGACCTTCAGTTGAACGTCAAGAAAACAAAGCAGACATGCATGCCAAGTGCACGGGCATTTGTAGTGCTACGATTGTAAACAAGTCGACGAAATGCATGTAATCAGTCAAAGTGGTTCAAAGCCGCAGTCGACTTCGTAATGCCATAAAAACGTGGAAGCTCATTGTCATCATACTGAAGCTTGGTTTTATGCGTTGTGGTGTATGAGAATACCTAATCTAGTAATTGCCCTTTTCTACACACAAGTCGTATAATCAATTTAATATTATAATATAATGATCCCGCGAGGCCTTCATAGCAAACGTTGAGAAACTCAGATCGCATTTGAGCCGGAATAGCATGGGTGAGCAGCCCCGCTGGGCCTTGCGGGGCGGGACCGCGTCAGCAGCTCCACTGGGTCTGGCGGAGCGGGGCCGCGTCAGCAACTCCGCCGGGCCTGGCGGGGCGGTACCGCGTCGGCAGCTCCGCTGGGCCTGGCGGGGCGGGACCGCGTCAGCAGTTCCGCTGGGCTTGGCGTGGCGGGACCGCGTCAGCAGCTCCGCTGGGTCTGGCGGGGCGGGGCTGCGTCAGCAGCTCCGCTGGGCCTGGCGGGGCGGGACCGCGTCAGCAGTTCCGCTGGGCCTGGCGTGGCGGGACCGCGTCAGCAGTTCCGCTGGGCCTGGCGGGGCGGGACCGCGTCAGCAGCTCCGCTCGGTGTGGCGGGGCGGGACAGCCCGGCCGAACCCCCCGGCCCGGTCGGCGGGGGTCCCCCCCCCCCAGGCCGAGACCTGTGCCGCCGACTGTTTGTTCAGCACCGGCCTCCAGCGCCGAATGAGGAGCGGAAACTTTCAATCACTGGGGCCATTCACGACTAGCCAGCCCGTGGCTTCATTGTGTTTAACATTGGGCTTTTTCTTCACAGTGGCTGTGCGTCAGATTCGCATGGTAATTGTTTATCGGTAGGCGGACGCATTGAATGCGTCCGTTGACACGGACAAACAACACCAGGCCCCCATGCGCAGCGGTCGTATTTGCCTACTGTGCAGCATACGCGCCATTTCCACTAGTGGGCAGTACACACACACAGTACCGGAAATGACTGGCCTCCCAGTCCCGTTGGCCTTATACCGAGCCCAATTACTATACACCCGGGGCCGGGTGCCGCGCGCACGCGCTGATTACCTGAATAACGTAATGGCAGGCCTCTGCGCCCTAGGGACCGACGGCGGACAGCCGCCAGTCCCAGCCAGCCTCCTCCCAGCCGACGCGGGAGGCTCCAAAGGACATGGCTCTTGGCACACGCTATGTAGCTATAGGTAACATCACGAAGACTGT